CGGGGTGAGTGCGGGGCACTGCGGCTCTGCTCCCGGGGCTTCCCTCCCTCCCCTCCGCCGTGTGCCCGTGGGGAGGCTGCTCAGGGAATGGGGTCAGAGGGAATGGCTCTTACCCCCAGGCGAAGGAGAAAGCTGAGACAGCCCCTGCCCTGCCTGTCCCCTGGGTGTGCAGTTCTTTGATTCCACCCTGCCATTCCTCGGAGGGTTTGGGGTTCTAGTGGATACATGTGCTTTTGTGGGTTTCATGCTCTTGTTAATTTCATATTTGCCACTTATATTTATTGTCTTGATCATTGCTAGACGTGCTGTGTGTATTAATGTGTGTATCCAGTTCTGGGCCACTTTGTTCCGGAAGGATACTGAGGTGCTGGAGTGAGCCCAGAGAAGGGCAGTGAAGCTGGTGAAGGGACTCGAGCACAAGTGCTATGAGAAGCAGCTGAGGAAGCTGGAGGTGTTTAGCCTGGAGAACAGGAGGCTCTGAGTTCACCTTACCACCCTCCAGAACTCCCTGAAAGGAGGCTGGAGTCAGGTGGGGCTCAGTCTCTTCTCCCAAGCAACAGAAAGAGAGGACACAGTCTCAGGCTGTGCCAGGGCAAGTTTAGGTTTAACATTAGAAAGAATTTCTTCATACAAAGGATGATTAAATACTGGAACGTGCTGCCCCAGAAGGTGTTGGAGTCACTATCACTGAAGGTGTTTAAGGCAAGACTGGATGTGGCACTCAGTACCGTGATCTAGTAGCTATGGTGGTGTTACTTTTTAGGTTGGACTCATTGACCTCTGAGGTGTTTTCCAACCTTAATGATTCTGTTATTCCGAAGAGGATTTGCCTTCTCTGAAGTGCATTAGCACTGATGGGCAGTTGTAGCAAGTCCTATTGGAAAACTGTGGAGCAGTGTTAGAAAAGACCCTGTTTATTCTGATTCAGTTGTATAACTTAGGGGTTTTGATACTGACGAGTAATAAAAAAAATGAGATTCAAGAGTTCATTGCTCTTGCAACCTAACTGAGTCATTTAAGTTACCAGGGCGAGATTGTTTGAGGTAGATATGTTGATGGAGATTGTCTTCCTACCCCTTTTGTCTAAATTGATATGTAAGGATGTGTGGGTTTAATAGCAAATTGGAAGCAGTAATAGCAGGTGTGTTACTACACACAAGTGTAACTGGTATTTCACAAGAAATGTTGCTGGGATTGCCTAATGAGATCTAAAAGCCTCATGTCTCCCTTTTAAAGAGAGATGTGGAATGTGTTGTCATCCTTTACCAGTGATGCCTCATTTTCCAAGGCTTTTAAAATGATTTTGTTTTCTGAACTACCTCTAGGACAGCAGTATTAGTAATTGAGCTTTTTAGGGAAAAATGATGGAAACAGAAACTACAGAAATCGTGGCTGGAATGTTGATCCTTAAATAGCTCCTTGATTAACTTTTTAATTCTTCTGACAGTGCTTAACTGATTGGAAAGAAATTCAGACCTTTAAATCCTTCCTTGTTATCAAAGCAATTGTGGTTCATATTAAGACAGATAAAGGCTTAAGAATAAAAAATGTGGTTATTTTCTCTTTGGTTTCTTGCATTTCAGAAGTGTAGCTTTCACCAAGTTAGCCCAGATTTGAAGCTGAATTACTGGGCTAGAAAACAGGGAAAACTTCTGCCTAAGATCTAGCCTAAATTCCCCCTCTTTCAATTTGTGCCCATTGCCCCTTGTCGTGTCCCTGTAGCTCCTAACACAGATCCCTCTGCAGCTTCCCTGGAGCCCCTTCAGCCCCTGGAAGGTGCTCTGGGGTCTCCACACGACCTTCTCCAGGCAAATCTTGTAGGCCATAAATAAAAAGTGCTTAAAGCAGCAGTTTACTTCTTGGACAGTGATTTTCTGCAGGGAAGTGTTGCCTGGCCTAGAGCCATCTTAATCTTGCATCTCACACAGCTGAAGTCTAAATGTAAGCTAATTTCTAGAATATAGCTTGTTATAGCTGCTGAGCTGAGGAACAGATTTGAGCACATTGCAGGAAACCTGATAGATTTCTCTGAAAACAGAAATTTTGTTTAATTCTTTTAGTTTGGCTTCTTGGTCTTACACCTTTGCTTTTTTTATGCTTTTCTCTGCTGTTTAACTAGAGGCAGTATAAAATACTTTGGTCAGGAGCAAGTGCTCACGTTCTGCAAGGGTTGAGGACTAGATGGAATGGTCGTAGGCTGAGCCAGGGCAGGGTCAGATTGGATGTGAGGAGAAATGTTTTCCCTGTTGTGGTGTTGAGGCCCTGGGATATTGCCCAGGGAGGTGGTGGAGTCACCATCCCTGGAGGTGTTTCAGAGGTGTCTGGATGTGGCACTGGAGGATCTGGTTTAGGGTTTAGGGGTTCCAGCAGTGGCAGTTAATGGTTGGATTCAGTGGTCTTAGAGGTCTCCTCCAAATTTGATGATACTGAAGTTACCCCTCATTCTCGTATTTGGAAAAAATGGACAAAGTGAGGTCTTAGTTGATGGCATTTTTTCAGCGCTTGGCTCATTTTTTTCCCTGTACCTTCTGCAGTTCTCTGACTCTGCCCTGGCTCAGCTCAAGGCCATTCCCTCTATCCTCTCCCTGCAGCCCTGGCAGGACACACATCCCCCACCTCTCTCCAGCCCTGGCAGGAGTTGCAGAGAGCCATGAGGTCAAAGATGAGTGAGGATGTGGCAGAGAGAATAGAAGGAAATCTGGAGAAGAAGACGTTATATAAGACATGTAAAAACTTGTTACACACAGTGATGGGAGCACAATTGGAAATGTAGCCAACTGAGTTCTGGCATATGTTTTCATTGATTTTCTGCTCTAATTGCCTGCTGTGACTGGAACTGCTACGTATGTGATCAGGCTTGTAAAATTTTATCATGAACCGTCAGTGATAGAGGATGGCAGGTGAAACACAGGAAATCTGGTTATATTTAAATTTAGAATAATAGAATTTTAGGGGTTGGAGTGGAGCTTAGAGATCACCCAGCCCCAACCCCCTGCCCTGGGCAGGGACACCTCCCACCAGAGCAGGTTGCTCAAGGCTCATCCAACCTGGCTGTGAACACTGCCAGGGTTGGGGCAGCCACAGCCTCCCTGGGCAACCTTGGACAGGGTCTCACCACCCTCACAGGGAAAACTTCTGCCTAACATCTAACCTAACTTTCCCCTCCCTCAATTTGTCACCCTTGTCCTGTCACTGATCACCTCTTGCTTTGGAAACATTCTGTTGACTCTTTGGCTCCTCTAGAAAAGTACCCTCTGAATTTATCAAGATGTTTAATGCAGGATTTGGGTTTCAGAACAGCTTCCAGGAACTCAAAGCAGTTGTTCCTGGGAAAGTTTTTTTTTCTTTGGTTCATCTGGGTAACTTGATTTAAACTGACTTTGCCCTTAGGTGTATTCTGGGCTTTAAAAGAGGAGCAGCGATAGGAAATCAAACAATGCCTTAATTTTTTAAAGAATAGAGAGCTAGTTGTTAAATGCTGTTCCTTTAGTTGTGCACCTTCACAGGACTTCAGCAGGGGCAGAGTACAGTTTGGAAGAGAATATAGCAAGAGTACATGCAGTGTGTTATCACTTCTGTCATTGCTTTCATTTTACATCTTATTCTTGAAGTCAAGTGAGAACTATTCCCAAAAGTATTTACCAGTTTATTTGGTATCACTGAGATTATATGAAACCAGTTCTTTTACACAGTATAAAGTTCCCATAGAGCCTAAAAACTATTTGACAAATACAGGAGTTGTTGGCTAACACTCTGTGGGTTGATGCCATGTCAAAATACAGAAAAGTCTTTTTTTTTTAGTTGTTGAAATAAATCTAGCTGAATATATGGCTAAAAAATGCTTCAGAGGTTTTGCAGGAAAATCTATGTTTTCTATTAATTGATTCTAAGAAACTGCTCTAAGAAACTCAAGGGTAAAAGGAAAGGTGCTATCTCAAGGTTGTTTCTTGCATACTAGATCTACCAAAGGATTTGGTTTCTGAACCTGGAGCAAAGGGGGAGAACATGTCACATTTCTCCCTCCTATGTTTCCCAATGGCAATTGCAAGGAGGGAGTGCAAACAGCTGCACAGCTCTTTGCCAGCAGCACAAACCCACTTAACTCGAGGGGTAGTAATAGGGCAGATTCCAGATCCTGTGGGAGAAGGTGGGAAACATGCTCTGTGTATTCTTGTCCACGTAGCTGGACACGGTGGGGATCTCATCTTTGTCCGAGCGGTTGGAGCTGTCTCCGCGCGAGTGTTCGGAGCAGTTTGTATTCCACACATCCACCAGTGGCTCTGCTTGGTTTTCCCTCTCAATGGTGCTAAGGAAATCTTTTAAGACTTGCTTGAATATGTAGACTATTTCCCAGGGTAAAACATCATTTTCGGCCAGAACTTCACGGAATCTAGAAGCAGAGAAGAATCGAAATCTCATTGTCAGCAGTGCAAACTCTTGTGTTTGCTCTGTGCCGCTTGGAGGGGACAGGAGGGAGCAGGAAATGAGTGCATTCTGCTCTCAGTTTCTCCTTGCTGCTGTATTTCCCCACACACTTCCCACAGAAGATTGCAAGAGGAAAAGAGCTCTAACAATGCACTGGATGTGCTCCAGCTATTATGAGGATTTGAAAGGAGTTGTTCCTGGGGATGTTTTTTTTTTTTGTGGGTTTTTTGTGGTTTTTTTTTTTTGCTTTGGCCCATCTGGGTAACTTGATTTAAACTGACTTTGCCCTTAGGTATATTCTGGGCTTTAAAAGGCACATAGGCTTGTTCTGTCGTTTCTGCAGTCCCTAGAAAATGGATTTAGAACACAGGCAGAGGAGAATTTTTCTTCCTAAAATGTGTGTGGAGGTTGTTCGATTTATTTAGTGGGATTTTTTTTGGCACTGATTTGCTAGTTTGGGAAGCTCTCAGGTATTTTTTGACAGTAAAGCTGGATTTTGAACAATCATAGAATTTTAGGGGTTGGAATGGATGTTAGAGATCATCTAGCCCCAATCCCCTGCCCTGGGCAGGGACACCTCCCACCAGAGCAGGTTGCTCAAGGCTCATCCAACCTGGCTGTGAACACTGCCAGGGTTGGGGCAGCCACAGCCTCCCTGGGCAACCTGGGACAGTGTCTCACCACCCTCACAGCAAAAACTTCTTCCTCATATCTAGCCTGAATTTCCCCTCCTTCAATTTGAATTTCTCCACAATAGTGCATTGCATTACTCCTTTAATTTGATTTTTGGTTTTTGGGTTGCTATTTAATAATTATCAGGGATAAATAACAGAGGGAACAAGTGGAAGTATTGAAACGTCATATGAGACTTATTTTGGATTAGACCAGGAAAATCCTGATTTTAAACTTCCTTCAAGTGCAACATATTCAAGTCATAGAATCATAGAACTGTTAGGGTTGGATGAGACCTCTAAGATGGTCAAGTCCAACCATGAACCTGTCACTGCTGGAACCCCTAAACCAGATTCTCCTAAACCAGATCCTCCAGCACCAGATCCAGACACCTCTTAAACACCTCCAGGGATGGTGACTCCACCACCTCCCTGGGCAGGTGAAGATATAATTTCTAAAACACCTGTAAAAACACATCCAGCTGCTGGTCAATGCTGCTTTAGAAGATCAGAGCCAAATACAGACTTGGGTTAGGAAGAAAAACCTCTTACTGGTGATAGAAATCTCAGAGTTAGAGGAATAAGAAAGAGTTACCTGCTGAGAACGGTTCCTGTCTGGCAGGGCTGGATTTGGGAGCACAGAACCTCGAGCTGCCGTTGCTCAGTAGCTGGAATTGTTGCTTGGGGGTTTTGGTAGTTCTTGAGCCAGTTGGAATCCATGCCAGTCTTCTGCACCTTCTGCTCACTCTCAATCTCCTGCACTAACCTTTCTCGCTCTTTCAGGTGCCATTTCAGCTCCCTCAGGAGGGTTTTTGTAACCAGTTCTGATCCAGGACATCTGTTGGGTTTGTAGGAGTCAGTTTTGGACCATTTCATCCAGCCAAAAAGTGGCATTTTTGATCTTGGAGAGGAAAAACAAACAGTTTTGCTTGTTTCTGTCCAGTCAATTAGTTCTACCTGCAGATTTCTTTCTTAGCAACTGAACGTTTAAATGAAGCTTTATTAATGATGCTAAAATAGTTTGCAGTACAATATGAGGAGTGATAAGTGCCAAGCCATAATGAAATCTGACAAGCCTTACACTTTGTAATAGTTCCCATCTGTTTCCTGAGTTAAAGTACCATGTGAAGTTTACAGCATTTAAAAGTGCATAGCTGTCATCTTGGAAATAGTTCATTTTTTTTATCCTGGTGGTAGATATGGTTAGAAAATAAATAATGAAATAAAGTAAAATAAAATAGGAGGAAAAAACAGCAAAAAACCCCCAAAAACCCACAAAAAAAGAAACAAGGGAAAAAAATTCAAACAGGCAAACAAAAAATCCCAACGAAAAACCCCAAACAAGAAACAAAACACAAACCCCCAAACCTCCAAAATTTGAAGTTACACATTCATTTAAACAATGTAATTAGTTTATTAATGTCGTTAAGTGCTGGAACTCTGCGTGATCTGTTGGTTTTTTTGCAACTTCTGCGTCAATGTTTATTCTAAGTGTTTTAAATACTTTTTTGCTCACATAACCTGGAGACAGAAATCTGGTGGAATAGGCTGTTAAACTGCAGTTTGTGCCAACTCATGCAGACACGAGTGTGTGGATGGTAATGAAAGAGCATAACTTACCTTTGCAGTTGTCTGTGAGCAGTGTTGCTTCAGGTGAGTTTGCTTGGAGGTCTCTTATCCTAGCATGTCCTGTTGGCAGGTTGTTACTACTGCTGGAAGAAAACAAGGTTTTTTTCTTTTTTCCCTTTTTCCTGCTTTTTTTCATTTATTCAGACTGTGCTTAGAAGAAAAAAATGACTTTCTGTACTGCCTATGACACTTTAAGTTTTTCTGCTTTTAAGGTTCTTTATCAGCCTCTGTAGCAGAGAGATGTAGTAATCCATTTACCCTAACGTGGTCCCTCACATACTCTCTACCAAGTCCATTAAGATCTCCTACCTTTGAATTGAGTTCTGCCGATGGCAGCAAGTGGGGAAAAAAAATAAATAAAAAGAGATGGTAACAATATCAAATTGTTGTTGCTAAATCCATCCAAAGGTATTGCTGGTAGTGAGATGAATAACGAGAGTCTGAAGCAACTCCAGACGTGCTCCTAGCTAAAGTTAAGGCTGTCGTATGATGTGATTGCTTGGCTGTGCATAGCTGTAGGTCACAGTTTAGAGCTGTATTTTTATGCCTGTAGAGTGCTAAAAATAACTCTGTTGCTTTTATCATCCAACTAAACTTTCAGGCCATTGAGATGCTGGGAGACTTATCTCCCATTAGAGGGGGATCAGACTGTTCTGCTGTCATTTTTAAACAGCTAAGAATAGTTTTTTTTCCTCTAGTAAAGATCATCTAAAGCTTTTGTTAAGTGAGTGTTGACAGAAAAGAGGTATTTGACAGTTGCTCAGGATTTTGTGGCTGCATTAAATGCTCCTTGCAGAGGAAATTCATCGCTCTCATGGTGCTATACTTTTTCATTAGTGTTAGCATTTTTAATGAAGATTTCAAATGTGCTGGAAGCAGCCAGGCTCTAACACCTGCAGCATGCTATGAACAGCACACATTCATCTAATTAAAGGAGTACAGTGATAAGGAGATGCAAATTGAGGTCAAACTGATGCAAAAAGCCCAGAATTGTCTTACCATAGACATTGCTTCCCTCTCAACTGGCTGTCAGTTGGCTGCTCCCTCTTTGGTTGATGAATATTCTGAGCAGATCCATGTTTAAGGTTCACTCTCAGGGATGGCACTGTGCACACTAAAGGTCGTTGGAGCAGCCTTTTTCCATTCCAGTTATCCAGTCTCTTCCTATTAATCTAAGCAGTGGCCATGGTGTAGGAAATGCCTCCTCTTCGGTTCCCTCTTGTTCTGATGACTCTCTTTGCTCCTCTAAGTATTTTTCATTCCTCCTTCTTTTTTTTTTTCCCCCTCTCCACTGGTGTGTGGAACTGTTGGGAGAACAAAGGTTCTGTAAAATTTGTTCTAGATGTCATACAACATAAAGGGTGACGTGTATGGCTGTTATTAAAGCTGATATTACTTATACATTGGAAAAATTCGGATGTCACTATTAATCCCCTTCAGCTGGAAGGTTTTCACATTGCATTGTGTGTGGGACTAGGAAAGAGGAAGGGAGCTAGGTTTGTGATGACAGAACTGTCCTGACAGATTTTCAGATGAAATTAAAATGCTCCTCGCCACCTCCTTTACAGCACAGTTAACATGTCACCGCTTTTCTCCACTGTATCAATCTGAGAGTAAACTGCTGTACAGTGTAAAACCATTATGGTGTCTTGGCAAATTAGAGATGCAGACTGCAAGGTGTGGAGAGTAATTAAATGAGAAGCCTCCGACTTGGGTTTTTTAACCTCATCTTTGGTTGAATCGGTGAAGATTCGTGGCAGGAGACTGAGAATTATGGTCATCTTCCCATTGGTGGGAGAGCATTAAAGCTGAAAAATTGCTTCTACTTGGTATGCATTTCAGATGTGTGTTTAGGAAGAGGTGACTACTCATGTGGGGCTGGAACTTCAGAGCGGTGTTTTATGTGGTTTCTAGCCCGTGGATCTCTGCAACTCCCTGCCAGGGCTGGAGAGAGGTGGGGGATGTGTGTCCTGCCAGGGAGAGGATAGAGGGAATGGCCTTGAGCTGAGCCAGGGCAGAGTCAGATTGGATGTGAGCAGAAATGTTTTCCCTGTTGTGGTGTTGAGGCCCTGGGATATTGCCCAGGGAGGTGGTGGAGTCACCATCCCTGGAGGTGTTTCTGAGGTGTCTGGATGTGGCACTGGAGGATCTGGTTTAGGGTTTAAGGGTTCCAGCAGTGACAGGTTAATGGTTGGACTGGATGATCTTCGAGGTCTCCTCCAGCTTTGATGGTTTTGTAATTCTAAGTCCAGTTTGTAGCTCTAACCATTAACCTGAAAATGTCTTGTACTCAAAATCTCACCTGTTCTAGCAATTCCTCTTTTGTCTTTTCCTGTTTGACATCACAGTTATGAGAGGGAGGTTGACAATTAAGATATTCTGGAATCAAATCCAACTGGTGTGAAGTTATGAAGACTTAACATTTTCTAAAGTTAGAAGTATTGCTTGCTTTTAATATTTTTAGGATTGAAACCCCTGAGTCTCTCCCTGCCAGTACTGTTACAGCTTCATATGTTACCAACTAGGAGCTTTAAGTTCTGTCTTGAAGGCATAGCACAGCTACAGAGTAGGAATATTTATGTACACTTGTGACATAAGTACAAGAGACAACACAGGAATTTAAATAGCTGAATGTTGCCACAGGGAAACAGGAGCTGCATGTTCTGAGGGTGCTGGATGTGCCTGGATCTTAGCTTTGTTGCTGCAGTAGTAGCAAAGCACAGCTCCAAAGGAGCAGTTGAACAATTAGCAGTGAGCTGGTTTTGTGGATGTTCACAGGAAACTTCTTCTAGTAGCATCAGTAACATCAGAGAAGTGGATTCTTACTAGAAAATCATGACTGACATTTACACCAGATAAAACATGTCACTGTGGCAAGGTGATGTTTCTTGGCTAAAAAGAGATGACAGAAGATGTTTATTTTACCCTGTCTGATGCTTTTAGAACTATCTGGAAAGCTTTTTTTTTCCTAAAAAAACCAAAAAACCCTAAGTAAAATAATCTCTTTAGCACAGGAAACTTCAGTGTTTGCACAATATGTACTTAAATAGACATTACATTCCAATTATGACCTTTCAACACTAATAATTGGTTTGCTGTAATAAAGGCCTGTTCCTGAAACAGGCTTATCATTCCTGCAGAGTCTGAAATTCTCCCAAAGATTGTGTTCTCTAGGGATCTGCTGTTTTTCCAAGTGCACTGTTTTCTTATGAACAAGTATTGTTCTCTGTGTTCTGGGAGGGAAAAAAAGCTGCAAATCCAAGTCAGCTCTGAGTACAGCAAGAAGACTTTACATGTGCCTTAACATCACGTACACAAAGAAGTTCCTAAACTGACAACCAGGTCCTGGCATACAGAAAAAGCAGCCTGAGTATTCCTGGGGCTGCTGCTGTACCTGTCTGTAAGGGCTGTGAATTCAGTGCTCATTTGTGATGTTGGGCAACACACTTTTTTTTCTGACAGAAAGCCAGTTTGGGAAGTTTGTGCTGAACACAAGTTTGTTGTCCTGTCTCGTGGGGTTGTGCTTTTGAACTGCCTCACTGGTGTTTCTGGGTGAAAAGAAGCCTTTGAAACCAACTTTCTTTAACCACATACTGCACTAATAGGAGCAGCAGAGAGTGATAAATGGTGAGAACAGGTGGAGCAGAAGCTTCTTGCTCTTCTTTTGTGATAATGTTAGGGCATCTGTACCATCTGAGATGCTGCTGCCTCGTGCAGTCACAAAGGTCAAGAAGTACAGCTCTTCTTACAAATGAGACTGATAATGACAGCCTGAGAAATTCTCATCCTAATTCTTATCTGACCAAAGGTTCTGATAGCAGGTCATAACCATTTCAACACCTTGGTGTATTGGTGTGTGTTCCATAATTCTGTGTTAGTACCTGTTGGTAGGACAGGCACATGCTGTGGTTTGTGGGTTTTGTGTGAAGGGCTGATGGTTGTTGTGGGTTAAGCCTTAGGACCATTTAGCCCCTCACTCACTCCCTGCTCACCCTCAGTGGGATAGGGGATGAGGAACGGAAGAAAAAAAAGCAAGAAGACTTGACATCAGGATAAAAAACTGTTTAAGAAGTGGAAGAAGAGAGAAAGAAAATGAAAGAAGTGATGCAAAGGCAGTCACAGATCACCTGTCATGGGCAGACCAATGCCCAGACAGGTTCTGAACTCTTAGATGGCAAACCTGACTGAACCCTCTCCTTTTCCTTTCTTACTGCTGACCAAGACACCCTGTGGCATGTGACATCCCTTTGGTTAGGGATGGTTTT